GTGTTATTCTGAGCGAAATAAGTCAGGCAGAGAAGGACAGATACCATATGTTTGCACGTATAGGAGGATTAGGAGGAACTTAACAGAGGACCATGGGGGAGAAGAAGGGGAAAAGTAGTGGGGTGAGGGAGGGAGACGAACCATGAAAGACTCTTGAATGCTGAGAACAAACTGAGGGCAGATGGGGTGGGGGGAAGGGAAGGGGGGTGATGGGCATGGAGAAGGGCATTTGTGGGGATGAGCACTGGGTGTCATATGGAAACCAACTTGACAATAAACTATTAAAAAAATAAAAAATAAAATTATACCAGCTGACCATTTCTAAAAACAAAAATAGCAGTACCATATGACCCAGCAATTCCACTTCTGGGTATATACTAAGAACAATTTTAAGATCTTGAAGAGATATTTGTATGCCATGTTCATGGCAGCATTACTCACAATAGACAAAATTTTGGTGGAAGCAACCCAAATGCTCACCAACAGATAAATGGATAGACAAAATGTGGTCTATACATACAATGGAAAACTATTAGTCTTAAAAAGGAAGTTCATTCTGACACCTGCTATAACATAGATGAACTCTGAAGACAGGCACACTCATGCTAAGTGAAATAAGTCCCAAAAGCACAAATACTTTAAGTTTCCACTCATATGAAGTACTTAGATTCATAGAGGCAGAAAGTAAAATGGTAGTTGCCAGGAGCTGGGGGGCACGGGGATAGAGAGGATGGGAGTTATTGTATAATGGGAACAGTTTTTTTGTTTGTTTGTTTGTTTGTTTGTTTGTTTTTGGAGAGAGAGAGCAAGTGTGTGCAAGAGGCAGAGAGAGGGAGAGAAGAGAATCCCAAACAGGCTCTGAGCTGTCATTGCAGAGCCCAACGTGGAGCTGAAACTCATGAACCATGAGATCATGACCTGAGCTGAAATCAGGAGTTGGGCGTTTACCTGATTGAGCCACCTAGGTGCCCTGAGAACAGAATTTTAATTTTGCAAGATGAAAAATGTTCTCTGGATGGACACTGGTGGTTGCACAACAATGTGAATGAATTTAATGCACTAAACTATACACTTAAAAATGGCTAAAACGGTAAATTTTGTTATGTGTAATTTACCACATTAAAACATTATTTTTAAAGTTGTATCTGCTGATGTAAGTAAGTCACGCTCAGTTTCTTCTTTATGACTCTATTATTTCTGGGATTGTAAAACGCTTGGCAAAATTCTCTAGTGTTTAAGAAAAGCAATTTCTTCATTTCCCTATAGCAGACCTTTTTTTTTATTTTGTTAATAATTTATTTTTTAATTTACATCCAAGTTAGCATATAGTGCAACAATGATTTCAGGAATAGATTCCTTAATTCCCCTCACCCATTTAGGCCATCCCCCCTCCCACAACCCCTCCAGCAACCCTCTGTTTGTTCTCTATATTTAAGAGTCTTATGTTTTGTCTCCCTTCCTGTTTTTACATTATTTTTATTTCTGTAGCAGACCTTTTAATAAACTATTAATAGTTTTCTTCAAACTAAACATGATTTAATACTTTTCATCTTGTTTTTTTCCCTCTTCTGGAAATATATAGGATACTTGAGGAGCTATATGATGGGGGGTCTTTTTTACTCATACTCAAAACACTTTTGACGTCAGATGTGTGGTTTGTTTCCCCCACACCGACCAATTCTCCAATATGAACTTGGTGTCCTGCAGTTCAATTCTGACACTATCCAGAGTAAGCACAGACCCCACAAGTCTCAATCCCACAAGCCTGTCTTCTGCTTTAAAGCCCAATTGCAACTAGTTGGTACCCAGATTACCCAGAACTGTCTGACTTGTACATAATTCACAGCCTCCACAATCTCCTCCTCAGATTCAATAATTTGCTACAACAGCTCACAGAACCCAAGAAAACAGTTTACTCACTATTGCTGGCTTATTACAAAGGATATTTTAAAGCATATAGCCAGATAGATAGATACATCAGGTGTGGTCTGGAAGGGTCCTAAGTGGAAGAGCTTCTGCCCCCATGGAGTTGGGGTGCACCACCCTCTGGCACACAGATGTGTTCACCAACCCGGAAGCACCCTGAACCCCACACTTTGGGGGTTTTATGGAGGCTTCATCATGTAGGAATGATTAATCATTAACTCAATCTCCAGCCCTTATTTAGAGGATGGGAGATGCGGCTGAAAGCCCCAAGCTTCCATACAAAGTGACCAGTCCCTTTCTAGGAGCCCACCAAGAGTCACCTCATTAGAACAAAAAGATATTCCTATCTCCCAGGAGATTCCAAGGGACTTAGGAGTTCTGTGTAAGAAACATGGGTCAAAGACCAAATATAAGTAGGAGCCGGAGGCAAAAAGCATTTATATATAATGTATTATTTCACAGGAGGGAATTCCACATGTAAGTGTATGTTTGAAATCTTTGGAGTTATTTAATTTATTCTGACCTTGCAGACTGCTTCTCTGGGGTCTAGCTCCTTCCCTGGAAGCTCACAGTCTTCTCAAATTTTTGTTTCTTCTCTTTTCTCCTAAACCCTTCCCCATTACACTTTTGTGCACTCCTCTTAAGCTTCCAGGTATCTTCCCTGAGCTCTGGCTCCTTCAAGGGCTCCCTGGCTCCTCTAACCTCAAAGTTTGCTTCTTCTGCTCATCGCTTTTCCTTTGCTGAGTATGGGATCTGTTCCCAGGACGTCTTAACTTCTGTACATTGTCAACTCCATCTGTTCCCTTTAGACTCTCAGACCTCTACCCTGGGATCTGTCTCCTGCTCCAGGGTTCCCCCCCACCCCCACCCCTCAATACTCCCAAGCTTCTGATCTCCTGGACTCCTAAGCTTTTTTTTTCCTCGAAATTTGTCACTTACCTCAGGAGTCTGATTTCTGATGCCCAAGATCTCTTTGGCTTCCAAGCACTTCCTTTGTGCTCGAACTCCTCCCTTACTCTTTCAGACTCTCTCCTTGAGCTCTGTTCCCTTTCTCAAGGTACCCTCAAACTCTCTTGAGGTCCCAGGCACCTCCTCTAGCCTTCAGTTCTCCTTCTGTGTTCCCAGTACACTAAAATGGGCGTAGCCAGAATCACATTTGAGGCTCACAATGAGCCCCATTTGCACATGATAAAAATGAGGCTTAGAATAAACAATTGAAAATTAAAACAAAAACAAGAACAAAAAAACCTGAGACTTAGAGGTGAAATCACTGGCTCAAGATCATATGTCAAATTGAAAGCCAGGTGTTCAAATCCTGTTTGAATCTTAGAACCCATATTGTCATCCACACACTTACTTCCCATTAAAATAGCTACTTATGAGAGAGAGAGAGAGAGAGAGAGAGAGAGAGAGAGAGAGAGAGAGAATTATTAAAATCCAGGAATTCTGTTAAGTGTTTCACTAAGGTAGTCGTTATTATCACCATTTTACTTTGAGGAAACCAAAAGTTAAGATTTAAGAGCCAATAAAAGGCAGAAAAAGAACATGAATGAGAGTTCTTCTGAATTCAAAGTTGGTATTCTTAATCATGATTTCACTCTATTTCCCCCATTATATAGATGAGAACACTGAGGCTTAGAGATGTTCAGAAACTACAGATCAAAGTTTATGAAGGGGCAAAATTATGGGTCTTCTCTGCTTCCTCTCAGATTGATCCTAAATAATTAAAAGCCCAGCTGCACCAGACAGTCTCCTCTTAAGAATCTTCGAGAGAGGGGCGCCTGGGTGGCTTAGTCGGTTAAGCATCCGACTTTCACTTAGGTCATGATCTCGCGGTTCGTGGGTTCGAGCCCCGCGTCGGGCTCTGTGCTGACTGCCAGCTTGCAGCCTGGAGCCTGTTTCAGTCTGTGACTCCCTCTCTCTCTGACCCTCCCCTGCTCACGCTGTCTCACTCTCTCTGTCTCCTAGAAATAAATAAAACATTTAAAAAAAAAATCTTTGAGAGAGGATGGGGCACCTGGGTTGTTCAGTAGGTTAAGCATCTGACTTCGTCTCGGGTCATGATCTCGGTTTGTGGGTTTGAGTCCCGCATCAGGCTCTGTGCTGACAGCTAGCTCAGAGCCTGGAACCTGCTTTGGATTCTGTGTCTCCCTCTCTCTGACCCTCCCCTGCTCACACTGCCTCTCTCTCTCTCTCAGAAATAAAACATTAAAAAACAAATTTTTTAAAGAATGTTTGAGACAGGAAATATTAAAAACCAAAGAAAAATTAACCAAATATTAACCAAAGAGTTCCAGGACATACTTTTCTATCAACAGTTGATCAAATGCTGGCCCCTACCCTCCAAAAGATGTATCCACTGGGGCGCCTGGGTGGCTCAGTCAGTTGAGCGTCTGACTTCGACTTGGGTCATGATCTCACTGTTCATAAGTTCGGGCCCTGCGTCAGGCTCTGTGCTGACAGCTCGGAGTCTGGAGCCTGCTTTGGATTCTGTGTCTCCCTCTCTCTGACCCTCCCCTGCTCACACTGCCTCTCTCTCTCTCTCAGAAATAAAACATTAAAAAACAAATTTTTTAAAGAATGTTTGAGACAGGAAATATTAAAAACCAAAGAAAAATTAACCAAATATTAACCAAAGAGTTCCAGGACATACTTTTCTATCAACAGTTGATCAAATGCTGGCCCCTACCCTCCAAAAGATGTATCCACTGGGGCGCCTGGGTGGCTCAGTCAGTTGAGCGTCTGACTTCGACTTGGGTCATGATCTCACTGTTCATAAGTTCGGGCCCTGCGTCAGGCTCTGTGCTGACAGCTCGGAGTCTGGAGCCTGCTTTGGATTCTGTGTCTCCCTCTCTCTCTGCCCCTCCACTGCTTATGCTCTCTCTTCATCTCTCAAAAATGAATAAACGTTAAAAATTTTTTTTAAAAAAAAGGATGTACCCATTGACTGAAAAAACAACTGGCCCTGTGAGGACAAAAGTTATCTGTTTTCTCTGTATACTTTCTATGGGAATTCTAGGCTGGGGGAGGAAGAGAAATCAAAATGTTTGTTACAAATGAGAAATGTCATTTTATTCAGTACAAGAGAGCAGGTTTCTGGAGCCAAATGAATACATGTCTAGGCCCACCTTGAAGTGAGTACAGGAGGCTTAAAATCTATGGACAGGCTTATTTCCCACCAACGCCTCAAACTCCTAATGTTAGGTCAAATCATAGAGATGGAGTAGAGATGTTGGGCAGCTTCTCAACAAGGTAAGGACTGACTTGTGGTAGGCTTTTCCAGGCAAGTTCTAGGAACCCATACTGGGCGATGCCCACAGGTTGGACAGTATGTACTTTGCACTTCCCAGGCAGAGGTACAACATGATGGAACTTGAGAGGACCTTCAGGGGCATGAGAATGACCACAAAACAGGCCACAGAACAACCGTTCACCAAGTACCAACTCCTTGGTTTTCAAGGCCTTTTTGTAAATAGTCTCTTGGGGTTGGAGTGCCTCTCTCTGCAGCAACTGTAGTAGGAGCCTCTGGATTTGGGGGGACTTAAATTGGTACAGATCCATGAGTTGGTAAAACTGTTCCATCCAAGTAGTGTGGTCTTCTGCATATCGTTGCTGCAACATCCGCAAAACATAGTACAGTGCCACGAATTTCTCCCATTGAGGCAGCTTTTCCTTTTTCTTAGAGATGGGCTGTGGCTTCTTCAACTTGGGCAATGTGAGGGGCCTGTTTTTTCCCTTAAAAGCCCAGAGATCCTTCTGAAACATCAATGCTAGAGTTTGTTTGTCCACAGAGGCATGGGCACCTGTGAAAATCTCTCGTGCGGCAGGATAAAAGTGTTGCGTTTCCATCTCTTTGAGAGCATTGGATAACTGCTGTACCCGAGCACTCCTGTAAGGTTCTCCTAAAACATGCCAGTTTATAGCCTTTGGGACTCGAATCCTCTTGGTGGTTGATGGGAATATTGGTGAAGGGATGGGCAGTGCATCCTTCTCTGCCTTCTGAAATTTGGGGAGCTCTCCCTTCTCCCTCAGGGCCTGGAGGGCCTTCTGGAATATCAAGGCCAGGGACTTTTTATCCATAAAGGGATAGACAGTTGTAGGAAAATCCTTTCCAACTGGATAAAGGTGCAACATCTGCTTAACAGCAGAAGATACCTGTTGTGCCTGCTTCTTCCTGTAGGACTCAGCTAAGAGAAGCCATCTGAGACCTTGTGGGGTTTGAGACCTCATGGTACCTGATGGTAACACTGGTTTAACAATAGGGAATGGCTCTAGCTGGCTCTCTTTTTCTTTTCTTCTAATTGGAGGAATCACTTTTAAGTGCTTTGGACTCAAACCATCCTTATAGGGTTGTGATATGTCTGCATGACTTACTGCTAGGTTCTTCCTGAGGTGTTTAGCAATGGCTTTAAGATTGTACAGATGCATCCATTTCAAGTATCCCTTTGAAGTGAAGTTTCTAAGGAGCTGGTTCAGTCGATAGAAGCTGTTCTTGGAAAGCTGCTCTCCTGCTTCCAGCCTTACTAAGGCATTCTTAATCCACTCCTCATCTGAGAAGCTTGCTTCTGAGTATCGTGGCCTTTCAGCTGGTACAGAAGTAAGGGATGGGGTTGGGACTTGGACTGGACCTAAGGCTCGGCCCTCAATTTTCCCCACTAGCGAATCCGGGTACTTCAAGAACCACTTCCACATGTCACCTTTGCACTTATGTTCAGATTTCTGTGGTTTCCTGATAATATCAGATAAGTGGGACTCTGGCCTATGGAGGTCTTCTGGGATCTGGGTCTGTAGGCCTGCTTTGCTAACTTGTAAAAACATATCCCTGGCTTTCTCCAAGAGCACATGCTCTTGTCTTCCCCAATAACTTGTCTTAGGGTGTGCTCCAGGAAGTTGACTTTTCTGACCTTTCAAATCTAAATGATCCCCTAACACTTTCCAGGGCATGCTCTGTTTTTCTGGGGCTACTGGGAGTGGTGTTTTGAAGGGGCTTTTCAGAACTGTTGGCCACAGGACTTTATCCCGAAGTATGAGATCTCTCTTTCCATCAAGCAATCTTTCTTTTTTAAAAGACATTTTCCTTCTAGCCGTACCTTTCTTTTTCTTGTCAAGAGCCAGCTTTGATAAGCTCACTTCTTCCTTGGAGAGCTCTGTTTTCAGTACTTCCTCTTCTGGGAGTATCACCTCCATAAGTCTCTCCTCATCCTTCTGCCTTTCCTCCTTTTCCTCCTTCTTTTTCTCAATCTTCTCCATTTCCTCCTCTTCCTCCTCGCCCAGGATCTCCTCTTCCTCCTCACCCAGGCTCTCCACTTCCTCCTCGCCCAGGCTCTCCGCTTCCTCCTCGCCCAGGCTCTCCTCTTCCTCCTCGCCCAGGCTCTCCACCTCCTCCTCGCCCAGGCTCTCCCCCTCCTCCTCGCCCAGGCTCTCCTCCTCCTCCTCGCCCAGGCTCTCCTCTTCCTCCTCGCCCAGGCTCTCCACCTCCTCCTCGCCCAGGCTCTCCACCTCCTCCTCGCCCAGGCTCTCCTCTTCCTCCTCGCCCAGGCTCTCCTCTTCCTCCTCGCCCAGGCTCTCCTCTTCCTCCTCGCCCAGGCTCTCCGCTTCCTCATGTGGGCCTTCTTTTTTCTTCTTACTCAACCTCTCTTTCTCTTGAGTAAGGCTCTTTCCCTTCTTCCTTCTTTGGGATGAACTTTCTTTTTTATGCTTCTTAGCCAAATTCTCCTCCAGGTTCTCTTCACTCAGCCTTCCCTTCTTTTTCTTCTTCTTGATCACATATTTCCCTTTTTCCTTCCTGGGCAGAATCCCTTCCTCTTCTTCAGTGACACTCTCCTCCTCTTTCCCCTTCTTAGTTGGATCTTCCTTTATTTCCTTCTCAATAAAACTCTTAGATAAGCCTTCAAACAGGGTACCTCTGATACTCTCTAATAACCACTTCAGTGGAGTCTTTTCTAGTTTATTCTTCTCAATTCTCCTCACAAGTTTCTTTAGCTGCTTTTTTTCTAACAGATTTTGTTCCTGGACCTCCTTTAATATACTCCCTACCTGGACTGTATCTAATAGTATCTTTCCCTGGACCTTCTCTAATAACCTTCGGTTCTCCTCCAAGCTCTCTCCATCAGTCAGTGTTCTCTCTTTGGTGGCCAGCTTATTGTCTTCTACTTTTCTCTCTTCCTGACCCAGCTCCTTCTCTTCTTTCATTATTTCCCCCTGTTCCTTAAAAAATTCCCACTTTTGGCCATCCACTTCACTCTTCCCCATCATGGATGATCTCTCTTCCTCACATATTTCTATTTCCTTTGGTAGCATTATACTCATTTTTCTAATTGTTTTAGCCAGGATCTTGAACAAGTTACTCTCTTTCTTCCTTATATCTTTTAACCTGGAACTAGCCTCTTTGTCTTTAGTATGAATCCGTTTCCCCATAACCAGTTTCCTAATTGCCTGTATTCTCTCCTCATTGGTTCTTTTTCTTTTTTTCTTAGCAACACCCATCTCCTTGGTCCTAATGTCATAGGCCAGTTCCCTCTCTTCCTCAGACAATTCCTCTTCTTCCACAATTTCTCTCTCTTCCTCAGTTTTTTCCTTTCTCTTAATTATGCCAATTCCCTTCCTGGCGATTGCTTTTTCTTTCTTAGCAATATGCCTCTTTTCCTTGGCCAATTCACTGTCGTTCTGGGTCAGTCTTTTCTTCAATGCTTTTTCCTCTTTTACCTGGGACTTTTTCTCCATTTTGCCATCGTGTTCCTCCCTTTCTACAAAAAATTTCTCTTTTACCCAAGCCTGTTGTTTTCTTTTATCTTTCTCTTTCTCCTCTTTCTGACCCCATATTCTCTCTTCTTGGGACTGTTTCTGCTCTTGTAGGGCTAGTTGCTCTTTTTTATGGGTCTGTTGTTCTTTTTTGTCTGTGGCTTTCTTGTCTTTCCCAACCCATTTCTCCTCTTTCTTACCTTGTTTTTCTCCCCCCATGGCCCGTTTCTCTTTTTGAGGGAACACTTTCTCAGTTTCTTCTATCTCTTCCTCCTCTTCTGAGACCAATTTCATTATTTCCCTGGCCCATTGCTTTTTATCCTTAGCCTGTTTCTCCACTTTTTGAGCCAATTTCTCTTCTTTCTGATCCCATCTCCTTTTCTCCCAGGTCTGTTTATTTTCTTCCTGTGACCATTTCTCTATCCCCCCAGCCTGTTTCTCCTCTCTTAAGTCTGCTTTCTTTTTTCCCCAGTCCCATTGCCTCTTTTCCTCGGTCATTTTCTCCTCTATCTGGTCCCTTCTCTCCTTTCCCCACTGATTTTCCTCCTCCTCTAGGCGCAGTTTCTTTCTTTTCCAGGATAATTGTCTGTCCCTGGCTTTTTTCTCCTCTTTCTTAGCCTGCCTCTCTTTCTGCTCTTCTTTCTCCTGTTTCCCAACTTCTTTTTCCTTTTCTTGGACTTGTTTCTTTTTGTAGGCCTCTTTTTTCATTTTTAACCATTTCTTCTTTTCTGAGATCAATTTAATTTCTTGTTCTGCCAACCTGCCCCTCGCTGAAGCCTGTTTTCCTTCTTCTCCAGACAGTCCCTCCTCTTCGCTAGACAAATGTTCCTCTTCCTGGGCTAATTCCCCCCTTTTCTGGGCCTCTTCTTCAACATGTTTCTCTATATCTTGGAAGTGTTTCTTCTTTTTGTGGGACTTTTTCTTCCTATCTTTAACTTGTTTCTTTAAGTCCAGAATAAGTCCCTCTTCATCCCAGGCCCGTTCCTCTTTTTCCTCACAGGGCTTCTTCTCTTCATCACCCAGCTCCTCCTCTTCCTTACCCAGCTCTTCCTCTTCCTGGGACAATTTCCTCTCTCCCCAGACAGGCAACCCTTCTTCCTGGGGCCACATGCCTTCTTCATGGGCCATCATAATCCTCTCCCAGTCCCACTTACTCCTTTTCAGTGCTGCCCTCCCCTCTTTCTGGGTCACTCTCTTTCTTTCCCCTAGTAGTTTTTCCCCTTTTCCAGTATCTTTCTTTTCTCCTAAAACTAACTTCTGCTCTTCCTTGGTTAATTCCTTTTGTGGATAAGCTAGTAGTCTTTCCTCCCAAGCTATTTTTTCTTTCTCATGAGCCAGTTTCTCCATATCCTGGGTCAGTTTCTCCTTTCCCTGAATTAATTTCTCCTCTGGTTTACTTAGCTTCCTTTCTCCCTCAGCTATTTCCCCATCTTCAGGAAACGCCTTGTCCCTCTTTAATGTTTTTTTGTCCTTTTGTCCTCCCAGTTCTGTCACTTCTTCCTCAGCAATCTCTTTATCCTCCTTTTCTGTTATAATGGATGGTTCTTCTACCACTCTTTCCTCCAATTCTGACGAGTCCTTTAAAAGGGGGCAGATCTCTTGGAACAAATCCCAGCTGGGCTCTTGGGGAGCAAGCATCACCTGAGCCAAGTCCACCAATTCTTGACCCAGATCCCTTAACATTCCTGAATGGGAGCTTGCTATCCTTGAGGTAGCAAGATAGTAAATGTCATCCCGCCAAGACCTGGTGTCTGATCCACCCTTGCGTCTAGAGGTACCAGCCAAACCTCGGCCACTCTTTCCATGTTTCTTCCTTGTATCTTTTTCTTGCTCAGCAATCTGCATGACTTTTTCTTTGGGCTCATCTGCAGTTGTCTCTGAAATATCCTTCAAATCTTTCTGTTTCACCTTCAAATCTTTCTCTTTCACCTTCGCAGCTACTTTTTTATGGCTTTTTCCCACTGCCCTTTTCCAGAGTCTTTTCTTGAGTTCTTGTCTTTGCAGCTTAGGGAATATCTCTCCATAATCTTTCATGCCACGTTGATCTATGGCTTTCATAACCTGTGTGGCTTCCACTGCCTCTGTAACTGTCATGTGACTTCTTCCTTCTTCTGTGGCCTCTGTGGCTTCTGTGGCCTCCATCAGGACCTCCTTTGATTCAGCTTCCTCTTGAGATTTGGCTGGGCTGAAAGTACTTAGTGGCAGTTCTGGCTCTAAGGCAACATTCTCTTTGTCAATTAGCTCTGACTTCTTGGCCTCCCTCTGTTCACCTTCATGCTCTGAAGGCACCAACACAGAGCTAAATTTTATAAGTTCTGTCTCTCTCTTCTTTCTGGAAACTCTCAGGTTCTTTTTAACTGCAGAGATATTGAGGAATATAGTTAAGAAAAAAACAGAAGCCCTGAGTGACATCCTTTGTAACATACAATTAATGAACTGCCATAAGAAGTACAAAGGCAAAGAGGACTGAAGCTTTATGGCACAGAAATGCTTGCCATTTTATCCCAGCTTCCATATCCTAAAGAAATAAGATCTTGCTGTTTGTTGTAGTATATGTTTCTTTCCCAGGAAGGTTACTTTCTATGGAAAAGAATTTTTTTTTTATTTCTAGGAGAGAGAGAGAGACAGCGTGAGCCGGGGAGGATCAGAGAGAGAGGGAGTCACAGACTCTGAAACAGGCTCCAGGCTCCGAGCTGGCAGTCAGCACAGAGCCCGACACGGGGCTCGAACCCATGAACCGCGAGATCATGACCTAAGCGAAAGTCGGACTCTTAACCAACTAAGCCACCCAGGCGCCCCGGAAAAGAATTTCTTTACATAATTATGTTCCCACTGGTATCATATTAGACATCTTTTTTTAATATTTATTTTTGAGAGAGAGAGGGAGACAAAGGATCTGGAGTGGGCGCTGTGCTAACAGCTAACAGCTAACAGACGCAGGGCTTGAACTCACAAACTATGAGATCATGACCTGAGCCAAAGTCAGATGCTCAACCGAATGAACCACCCAGGGACTCCCATTTTAGATATCTTGGCCTTACTGACCCTGTCTTTTGGTACCCTGAGGCGGGCCCCAAATATACCCTGTATATTACCCCATACGTACTAAGACGTTCTCTCTTTTCTTGAATATATGTCATTCTTTTCTTTCGTTTGAAGATCTCTTCAGGTGTGAATCTTCGTTTGACAAGGGTCTCAGGTACACCAGCCATTGATATGTCTAAAGAAAAAGGAGGTTGTTGGTCTCTATGTGACAAGGTCAGGTTTTCATTTAGCTGCTGCTCCACCTGTGTAAGCAGGTTTTGGATGTCTTTAGCTTGGATCCCCAGCAGCTGGTGCAGAGAGGCTTCTCCAATAAACTCCTGCCTACAAAAGTCAAGAGGAAAGAAGGATGATACCAAGCCACTGATAAAACAAGATTTGAAGGAGGAAGAGGAGGGAAGGAAGGGAGAGAGGAGAAGAAGGAGAAATTACATTTGAAGAGGCAGGGATAAAGTGGCCATTTAGTACAGAGTAGTCTGAAGTAAAGGGTTGGTAAAGAATAAAGAATCAAAGATAGCAAAGAATTGAGTTCATCAGGTAGATACAAGATGCTTTTTTGGTGGGAAGGTTTGTGGACTTGAGTCTTAAGGAATCTTAAGGACATGAAGAAGTGATGGAAGGGCAGGCTAATCAATGGTCAGAAGAAGGGTAGGCACTAGGGAGAAAAGCACATAGAAACAAAGAATATGGTGGGAGGAAAAGAATAGAAAATGTTGTAGAAAAGGAGAATAAGCAATCAGATTCTGGAGGTTAGGAGCTAGAAGAAACAGAAGGGGGAAATCCACTATACAACTTACTGCATTTTTTGGAGGGTTTGTTTCTTCAGCAGGCCTACCAGCATGCTCTTACTTTGGATGCCTATGACTCTTATCATAAGGTATAAAGCCTTAGCTCGCACATTTTCATCACTGTCCATCAATCCCAGACTCAGTGGAACAGCAAAGAGATGGCTCATGATGTCTAGCCTATCTAGCCCCTCCCAAGCTAGCTCACGGATGCATGAATTGGAATGGAGTGTATCTTCTAGCAGGCGACTGACAGTCTCAGAGCACAACCTTGGAGATACTTGATAAGTGGCAAAAATTTGTGCCAGGGCACTAATATATGTCTTGTACTGGTCTACAGAACAGTAAATTGTGAGGCTAAGGATTGCTTCGATTAGATTATTTAGTAGTCTTTCATCAAGTTTTCTTCCTGCCCAATTTCGGTTTACCAAGCTTATTGGAACATCATAGAAAGTTCGTTTCCACCACTTGGATTTATCCCTCTCTCTGTTTGAGATATTCTCTTCTAATGGAGGCATAGGTGACAGTGTCTGGTATCTGATGGGTTCAGTCATGTCCCAGTCTGTATCAAGGTAGGATGGGGACAGATCATGGCGTAAGAAGACTGGGGTACCGTTAGGCCAAAGGCAGGCACGGATAACTGAGTTGGGGATGTAGCCATCAGGAGCAAAGGGCCATTGCTGCCCTTTACCAAAGAAGCCATGCAGTTTATGGTAGGGGTTCAACCCATCCCAGCCAGCCAGCCATAACTGAGCAGGAACTACATGGGGGGGACGATTATGCTTGAGGTCAGGAGTAGAAAAAGCAATATCCTTATCCTCCAAAAAACGTAATTTGGGTTTCACTTGAATCAGAGTAGACATATGCCTCTCTTCCTCTACAACATGGGGCACAGTATTGTCAAAGGCAATAATCCGTTTGTTAACAAGGGCCTCTAGCCCCTGTAATTCCTGTAGCCCTTGTCCAAGGTAGACGAATTTGGGTACAAGTACTACTTCAAAAGAAAAGAAGAAGCTAGGCAGAAAGAGTTTAGGGTTTTCTTCTATTTCATCCGCATTGTTTAGGATAGCTAGGTGAATCAGCTTAGCAGGAGGGAGCAGTTTTAAGCAGGATACCAGGTAAAGACTCTGGTTGAAAGTTAAAAGCAGGTCTCCCCGATTATTGGCAAAGCAGAGTGGGCCAAAATGCAACGCTGAGTCCAACTCAGTTATGAGTCTACCGTGGAAGTCCCAGATCCGGACTGAGCCATCAATGCCCCCTGTGACAAAAAGTTTCAGGGAAGAGCAAACATCAAATGAAGTGATGGCACACTGGTGCAGGCATTTTGTCTCTTTAAACATAGAGCTTCGTTTTGATTCTGAAGATTTCAGAAAATCTTGGTAGTGCCAGAGACGCCAGCAGTGGTTGTCAGTGATGGCACCCACGGAACCAGGCAAGAGTACCACGTGCTGTAGGGGACAACCACAGAGAATTTTGCTTATGGACTGTAGGGTTACCCTGTTCTTCTGCAGCAGAGCTTCTGTCAGGTACACAGTATTATCCATGCCATAGGAACAGAGCAAGGAGTTTTCCTGGGGCCCTTCCAGGGTAGACAGGGCCAAAACTGCCCCAGAATGAATAGGCTTCTCTATTCGGGCATGACTATAGTGGGAGAGGATTCTCACCATGCCACTGCCATGCCCACAGAACATCAGTCCCACTAGGCCCATACCCAAATGGGACTGCGCGTAGGCCAGGCAGTTTACTCTGTCCCCAGAGTTTACTGAAGTGCACACCACATACTTGGCTGTGCAAGGTGAGCGCATCGCATCAAACACCAGGACCTCTGCGCCACCTGTTGCCACAAAGAGCTCCTCTTTGTCTGGGTCGTAGGCCCAAGCCACGGCCTTATCCATGACAAGTAAAGGCCAGGTGAGAACCAGGAGATCTCCTGTCACTGGAGACAGGAAGCGCAACAAACCATCCTTGGTGGCACACAGGATCCGAGTCCAGTTTCGGCCACAGCAGACCCGGCGCACCTGCTCAGGAGCAGAACCGCAGACATTGAAGAGGCTATAAAAACAAGGCAGGTGGTGCAGGGAGAAAGTGTGGGTGGTCTGGCAGAAAAACGTGGTGTTATCAATAAACTGCAGTTGCCGCAGACCCTCACCGATATCCAGCTGCCGCAGCAAGTTCCCAACAGCAAGGTTCCATTCCCTTACTGTGCCTTCTCGGCCTGCTGTCAGTAAGGTGTGGATCTCTGGCCGGCTGTGAACACATATAACTGATGAGGAATGGGCCTGGAAGCTGTGGAGGAAGTTACCCCGGTCAAGACCCCAAGCATGGATCTCTCCATCCTTGTTTCCAGCATAGAAATAGCCCTGAGAGACACAAGTGAAGGAGCAGGTGACGGAAGAGCTGCTGCCTGTGGGAGTGAACTTTCTTATCTCTTTCAGCTGGCCCTGACCCTGGTGGGTGAAGACCCTTACCTTATTCTCACAAAGGGCCAGGAGAGAGCCCTGGGGGCCATTCAGGGAAAGGCCCTGTACGAGCTCATGACCAGACATGGGCACTGTTTGTGCCATCCGGAGGTCCCTGCCATTTGGTAAGATAAGCCAGGTAACCACAGCCCCCAAGGTACCAGAGAGCAGCACCTCCGTTTCTGGGTCGTAGCAGAGGCAGCTGATGGAGAAATGACAGGGCACTGTGCCCAGGGATGTGAATGCTCGATGGTGATCTCCAAAGAGCCACAGGTGCATGTCACCACAGTAAGCAACTAACATGTGGTAGGAACCCGTGTGGACCATTACTTCAATGGGTGGCACTTGATCCATCACACGAAACTTCATCTTCTCCATTTTTCCTCCTGCTTCTGTATCTTTCTTCTGGATCCAAAGCACTGCCTAGAAAAGTATGAGAGATGAAAGCCAGATATGGAGACAGATAATCTCCCAAAGTGAGGGGTAGGAAGGATTGAATGTTTAGATCACTGTTCCCTCTTGTAACACTAAAGAAAGACAGAAGAGTGTGACTTTGGGATTTCCTGGTACTGGGATCTGGGTTTGGGATAGAAACACGATGCTTAAGGCTCTTTCCTTGGTCTTCAGTCTGGTTTCTAAGCAATATGAATTCTCTGAACCTGAAACTAGAGGTGAAAAAGGATCACTGCATCCAGGTCTGATTGGGATATGGAGAAAGATATTAAAATGAGCTAACTCAGAATCCCCCTCATCATTCTGAGATGAGGACAGTTGAGGTATGATGAATGTAAAGTGGGTTAAGAAGGAGAGGAGGGGCGCCTGGGTGGCTTAGTCGGTTAAGCGTCTGACTTTCGCTTAGGTCATGATCTCGCAGGTCGTGGGTTCGAGCCCCGCATCGGGCTCTGTGCTGACTGCCAGCTCAGAGCCCGGAACCTGTTTCAGTCTGTGTCTCCCTCTCTCTCTGACCCTCCCCTGCTCACGCTGTCTCTCTCTCTCTCCTAGAAATAAATAAAAACATTAAAAAAAAAATTAAAGAAGGAGAGGAAAAAAAAAGGAGGTAGCTTTACCTGTATTTGCTTTGAATCTGGTTCTACCCAGTTTAAGGAGACAAAATAGTTGATGTCGATGGAGTAGAAACAGATGAAAGGCTTGCTCTGGGGATGGTGCAGAGTCTTGTACAGAGTCTCAGGCCAGTCACTCAGTACAATCACCTGATTCTTTGGTTTCTCAGCAGCCTGAGTCAAAGAGAAGAGCAGCATGAGCTAACAGGCCTGAGTCCCCACTCATTCATTCATTTAATAAATATTTATTGAGGGTTAGCGGACATTTGTTGTTTTTTCATTAACCAACATTCATTCACCATTCCACTGGAAAGCACTGTTTGGGCGAGTCACACCTCCCTCACCTTCACCCACATCTTAATTCAAAGTACCTCTCAGCCTTTCTCAACCAAGTTTCTGTAAGAAATAAGCCCTAATATCCTAACATATCCATTCTACATTAGGCATTAATTTCTCCCTTATGCATCTAGAATGCTACTAGTTATGTACCATCCTTAAGAGAAATGAGAAAATAGCCCCTCAAATCTGTTTTCCATGGTTCAGGTGAGGAACACTTGAGAAACAGTGGTATGTTCTAGGACAGACACTGGGGATATGATGCTGAGCAAGAGAGACATGGCCTTAGCTTTCAGGAGATGAAAGTCCAGTGGGGGAAGCAGACATTATATAAACAACTAACAAAAGTCTGTACAAAGCAAACAAGCACTTCCAAAGAAAGGAATACAATCCTTCATGAGTATGACAAAACAATCCAACCTTGGCAAGTATCTCTACCTCAGTTGGAACAATTCTTCAAAATTCCTGCCTATACCCAAAGAACCACTCCTGTCACTGCCACACTTATGACACACTGCCTATGAGAAACTTGTACTTCACAGACTTAGAATGCCCATCACGTGGGCATCAGAGCTGGACACTTTGGCATGCTCTTTCACTAGTCCTATGTACATCCAAGGAAAACATGTGCTATTCACAACATGGAATACAGCTCTAATATTCTGTATTCTGACCCAGTAGGGGTGTGTGTGTATGTGTGTGTGTTGTATGAAGGGCAATATATGCCTTTTAACATGTTACATAGTAGAATATGTCCAACATAAACTATCTTCCAGTGGCAGAGTTTACATCTAGGACATAAATACATGAACTCCTTGTAGCGATCAGCCAAAACTGAGGCTCATAAAATCTATTTCTGAGGTCCCTTTTCCCAGCAGACACTTGTGCTATCTGGCCTCTTGAACACTACTTCATGAATCTAACTCCCCAAGTTTCTCTGAATCCACAAAGGACTTGAGACTATACTGAGGCCGTTATCTGCAACTTAGAAACTCTCTTTATATTTGTTGTATTCAGATCTTTGTGTGTTCTGGGAGAACACAGAATGCTTGGGAGACCTTCCAGTGTCATTGCTGGTTCAGTGAGAGCAGCAGAGTTGAGAGCAGGGATGCTGGTATCTGAGCTCTCAATCTCTCACCCCTCTTCAATGAATCAGAAGGCTCCTTTACATACCTCTTACTCCATTAGTTAATTACCATTCCTCTCCTCCTTTCCAGACTTTAGGTACAAACAATTCACTTACTCACTCAACAGTATCAAGGGTTTTCTCAGGAAGACTCTAAACGTCTATCTTAAACCTAAGTGATGTATCTGTGCCTGGAAGTACTGTTGCCTACTGTGTATCAATCCCCCTCCTTCTGTCCCAGTAAAACTCAGATCTTGTTTAGGGTGATCACGGCCCCAGAAATTCTGGCAATATAGAGTGGCACCGTGGCACTCAAAGGCTGGCACAGCTCTGTATTTTCTTTTAAAAAAAATTTTTTTTAATGTTTTATTTATTTCTAAGATAGAGAGACAGCGTGAGCAGGGGAGGGTCAGAGAGAGAGGGAGTCACAGACTGAAACAGCCTCCAGGCTCTGAGCTGGCAGTCAGCACAGGGCCTGACGCGGGGCTCGAACCCACGAACCGCGAGATCATGACCTAAGCGAAAGTCGGACGCTTAACTAACTAAGCCACCCAGGCGCCCCTACCTACTTGCATTTTAAAGCTGATACCTGGAAGTACAGGACCTATCTGGTAACCTTAAGATGATAAGCCAAAATAATAAGGATGGCGAAAAGAAAGAAACAGAACATGGGTGCTTGACAACACATAAAGACAAAGGTATCTCCTGCTTGTTTAATCCATATGTGAATTCACTTTCTGGTTTTTTGTTTTTTGTTTTTGACAGCAGAATGTGTTTTAACTGTTATCACCTTAGTTTAGAAGGAGGAGTTGTTTAGGGGCATGGAAGGTCTCCTCCAAAGCTGCTCACAGGCTTCCCAGGACATAGGCTGCTCTGGCAGGGGTGATTAGTCCAAGCCCACCATGAGCAGATCTCTCATACACGTCACCTTTAGATCCTTCAGGACATTATTTATGAGGAGGCTCAAGTCCTTCCACTCAGGAATAAGTCTGGGTGATGGTGCCATTTCTGCCACGCGCCAGCATTTTACAGACATCATGGCTCACGGAACCTGTGGAACATAAACCGACTTAATCACAACATCTGATGTGAGACTGGAAATTAAGGGAGTTGAGAGAGGGAAGAGCAACAGGGAAAGTTAGAGAAGGGGAGAAGCAAAATCATTAGGGATAGAAGAACCTCTCTTATTTCAGAAAGATCAGAGTGACAATGAACTACTGACACTTGCAACAACATACATGAATCTCAAAATTAGTGATGGGAAGCCAGACACCAAAGAGCACCTACTGTATGATTCCATTTATGTGAAATTCTAGAAAAGAGTAGTCTAACCTATAGGGACAGAGCAGATCAGTGGGTCTGACCTGGGTCTGAGAGACTGGGCAATTCCTGAGAAAGAGTAATAGGGGACTTTTTTGTAGAAGTGAATGGAATCTTCTATATCTTGGCTTCTATATCTCAGTGGTTATATGGGTACACAAATTTGTCACAAGTCATCGAAACATACACTCAAAACGGGTCCACTTTATTACATGTAAATTATACCTAATAAAATTGATTTTTAAAAGATAGGAGTGGAGAGGGAGTTTTAGGAAATCTAGAAATGGAAAAAATGTGGCAAAAGAAAGCTGTCAAGTAAGCTTAGGTGAATCATTGCAGCACAGCTGAAAGAATACAGCAGCCTGGCTTGGCAGCCCTTCCTTTTTAGAAATAAAATTTTTAATGGTTATTTTTGAGAGAGAGACAGAGCATGAGGGAGGAGGGGCAGAGAGAAAGGGAGACACAGAATCTGAAGCAGGCTCGAGGCTCCGAGCAGGCAGCACAGAGCCTGACGCAGGGCTTGAAACCACAAACTGTGAGATCATGACCTAAGCTGAAGTGTGACGCTTAACCGACTAAGCCACCCAGGTGCCCCACCCTTTCTTTTTTGATTTTTTTTTTAAGTACCCTCTGCACCCAGCATGGGGCTCCAACAACCTTGAGATCAAGAGTTGCATGCTCCATGGACTTGAGCTAGCCAGGAGCCCCACCTTCCTTAACTCTCTTCATTGGGATGCTCATTTTTGTAAGCATAATTTTTAAACTTAATTCTATCCTTCTTTACTACTGAAACCTTCACATACGTGAGTCACTCACATGTTTAACAAATATTTACTCGATGTTCATTATATACCAGGCCTCCGTACCTAGAGTTGGAGATAAAGCAGTGAACAAGAACGATTATCTGAGTTTATTACCTAATATGGAAGGCAGATACTGAACAAGTTAAGACAGATGTCAGGTTCTGGCCAGATGTCAGCTAAAATAACCTGAAAGTCTCCCACTTAGGAACTTCTAGAAATTGTAGATAACAAGAGACTGAATTCTAAGAGCTAGAAATGAAGAGGCAGAGAAAGCAGTAAGTGCAAAGCTGCCCCTGTGACAGTTCTGAGGAGGTATAGTTATCAGAACCCCAAAATGACTATACTGGCTAGGAGCTAGGGTAGTGTTACCCTGGCTGAGAGAGGACATAGGACTTGGGCTCATAGGACACAGAGAGCTGGAACTGAGACCCCTCCATTACCTTGGAAACAGATACACTTCCATCAACACACCTGGCTTATGACCTGCTCTCTGAAAGCTGATACACCTTTAAACTTTTTTCCAAGCATGATTCAGGAACCTACATACCTCCGAATTCCAGGCGATACTCATGGAGTTCTCCAAGTGATTCTCCGACATATACCTCACTTGGACTCACAAGGAAGAGAAGCAAGGGGAAGAAGAAATACCACAAAGCACACCAACCATTCTCTCTAAAGAAATCATCATGTAAAATCTCGACCTGAGAGGGCAATAAGCTAAGGGTCACAAAAATCTCCTTCACAATCTTAGCATGTTCTGTATGATTTATCTGATATCTATCGTTCTCTAAGGAAATTCCTGGAACACTGAGAGTTACATCTAATATCTTGTGGGCTTTTTTAAAAATTTGTAATGTTTTTATTTATTTCTGAGAGAGAGAGAGAGCATGAGCAGGGGAGGGTCAGAGAGAGAGGGAGACATAGAATCTGAAACAGGCTCCCGGCTCCGAGCTGGCTGTCAGCACAGAGCCTGATGCAGGGCTCGAACCCACAAACCTGATCTCACGCCTGAGCAGGGGTGGCTGAGTGGCTCAGTCAGCTGAACGTCTGACTTCAGCTCAGGTCATGATCCCATGATTCGTGAGTTCAAGCCCCATGTTGGGCTGTCTGCTGTTAGCACAGAGCCTGCTTCTGGTCTTCTGTCCCCCTCTCTCTCTGCTCCTCCCTGCTTATACTCTCTCTCTCTCTCAAAAATAAATAAACATTTTTGTTTTAAATGCTAAGGAAGCCAGCTTCCCTCTACTTGCTAGAAGGGATGATGCTGGATTCATGAATTGCTTAATAAAGCCACGTAGATCTTAAAATTAAAAAAAAAAATACTAAGAAAACTACCAAAAAGAAAGAAACAAATAGAATGTAAGATTCAACCAGTGGAGGAAGGGGATCAGAAAGAAAAGAAATACATATTGATCAAATGAAAGAAATATAGAAACATCACAAGGAAAAAAGAGGTATGACAAATAGAAGCAGAGTGACAGAAACAAGTCTAAATATGTCATTATAGAACAAATACAGACTAAACCCATTTGAAGACAAATTTTCAGATTAGATTTTTTAAATGAATAAAGTATAGTTGCATTCTGTTAATAAGGGACAAATCTAAAATGTAAAAACATAGAGGACCACTTGGGTGGCTCAGTGAGTTAAGCGTCCAACTTCAGCTCAGGTCATGATCTCACAATTCATGGGTTCAAGCCCTGCATCAGGTTCTTTGCTGACAGCTCAGAGTCCAGAATCTGCTTTGAATTCTGTGTCTCCCTCTCTCTCTGCCCCTGCCCCCACTTGTGCTCTGTCTCTCCCTATCTCTCAAAAATTAATAAATGTTAATAAATAAATAAATAAATAAATGTAAAAACATAGAAACATTAAGGTATCATTATTTACCATGGGCTTCTGTTCTGAAAATCATCTAAAATCAATAAGGAGAATCAAAAGATCTTTGCAAACTCAACTTCAGCAAAACCAAGAGATAAGTATAATTGGTAAATAACAAATTACTTGTAAGGGCTGAGAAAAACAGCTGAAATCAGTGGCAATTATGACAAAAGAATTGGAAATAAGAAATTATGGAGAGAAATTTGAGGAGGGAATGGTAATTATGGTAATTTGTTATAGCATCAATAGAGAATTAATTCAGGGACTAACATTGTTTTGGAAAATTTATTTATGCACAAATACTTTCTGTGTATTATGTCATTTAATACCAGCAACCTTCTGAAGTAGTAGCTAGCTTTATTCCCATTTTGCAAAAGAACTTAATTAGTCTACCTATAGTCACACAGCTAGTAAGAGACAAAGCCAGGATTTCAACGCAGGACACATGACAGTCGTATGTACCCCTTGAACTCCTTGGACTACTGAGCTACGCAACCTTCCTAGAGTCAGTGGAGCTCACAGAACTTAGATTAAGGGTGTCCAAGGTGAAACAGTATCTCGTTAGCTGAGCTCAAATGTGAGCCTGGTTTGTCGTTTCAAAACTGCTAATTCTCAAACAACCAACAAATATTTGTTGAGATTCTACTTTATGACATTTTGCTTTACAGTATTTTGCTACTGACTGGGGATCCTAAGTTCAAAAGTAGACACTGTCTTCAAGGAACTTCAAATTGTTAAAATTTGGTAACTGCTATAACGGAGCACCTGAAGGTGCATGAGGCACCACAGAAGGCACTTAACACAGAAGTGGCATGAGGAGGTTGTCAGGCAGATAAGGCTTCCTCAGACATTCCAGGAGGAGAGGATGGCACAGACCCTTAAATGTCTGATTTGTGCCAGAAACTACCTAGGAGTTAACTATTCTTACAGCACGATGTTCAAGAAGGCAAGAGAAGAAAAATGGCTAGACAGGTAGGAGTTACTATAACTGTCATACTAAGGAGTTCAATTTTCATATTGAAACACTGAAAACCAGGGGCACCTGGGTGGCTCAGTCAGTTAAGTGACCAACTTCGGCTCAGGCAGGTCATGATCTCCCGGTTTGTGAGTTCAAGCCCCACACCGGGCCCTCTGCTGTCAGCACAGATCCCGCTTTGGATCTTCTGTCCCTCTCTCTCTCTGTTCCCCTTGCTCATGCTCCCTCGTGAGCACATGCTCTCTCTCTCTCTCAAAAATAAACATTTTTTTTAATTAAAAAAAAAAAAGAAACAGTGAAAAACAGTGTTAACAGGGGAGTGATGTCAGATTAACCTTTTAGAATATACACTCGTCCAGCCTGGAGCTGGACTGGGGATCAGTCAAGACAACCTGCCAAGAGGCTACTGTGATAGTAGAGATGAAATATAATTAAGTATTCTGATTTAGAGCAGTGGGAAAGGAAAAGCAGATGACAAGAACAATATAATATGTTTAGGATAAAAAATATTTGGGCGGTAGGATTTATGGATATTGCAGATTATTTGGGTATGCAGATTATTATTTCTCAGGAAAAGAGAAATCTAGAATGGTTCCTGGGTTTCTGGACTATGGTTTGAATGAAATTTGATATATTCAAATGGACTAAAGAAGAGTAGGAGTGGGTATGGAGGAACAAAGATCAGTTTGATTTTGGATTTGTTAAGGTGGTTATAGAATATCTGAAGGAAGACAACTAAAATACCTGGGTCTGGACATCAGGGAAAAGGTCTGGGTTGGAAACAAATACATGAAATTATCAATCTATAGGGACAGCTGAAGCTGGGGATCTGGAGTAGCTTGCCCACACGGGGCTATGCCTCATGAGAAGGAGACTTGATAAGCAGATAATTAAGGGGGCACACACTAGAAGAACAACTATAAAGAGATATGATGTTCTTCCAGAAACCTGAGGAGGAGACTCTCATGAAGGTAGATCATCTGTAACAGGTCAAATAAGATGAGTGGATCTGGCGAACGGTACCAGTGTCCTTAATGGGAACAATATCAGCAGAGCAGTTATTCCTGAAGTCAGCCAGGAAGGAGCTGAGGAGTGGGTGAAAAGTAAGAGCCCTACATAAGCTCCAGGTTGAACGGAAGAGAGGGGAAAGAGGAGAAAGCAAGAGAGAGGGGGAAGGTAGAAAAGTATGTGGGGAAGGTGTTTTTTTTTTTAACCCCAGATTTTTCATTAAGTTCAACAGACATAAACTTATTCTGTCAAATTGCTATACAAGTTCCTAAATGCTTATTCTGAATTTCTGCACTTATCTTGCTGAGGACCAGGGCAAACAGCTCCCAAGCTGGCCCCAGAGTGCTTGGGAGGACCACATTGGGGACTCCAATCTCTAGCTGAACAATTTCCAAGCATTTTTCTTCCATCTAGCAACAGTTAACTACCTCACTTCAATTTCCACCACAAGTAAAGCTTAAACCCTCCAGAATCCTCTAGACAATTCTCAAGGGCATGCATGGGAACACCAAAAGATTGGCCCCTGGAGGGAAGATTTTTTTAAATGCGATAGTTAAACATGTTTAAATGTCAGGAGGAAGAAACCATGAAGGAGAGAGAGTGAAAATACAGAAAAGAGAGAACAGGCTGCTACACCAAGCTAATGTGACAAGAGAGGAGGGTTAAAGAGCACAAGCTCAAAGACTCTCTAAAACTTCCTCTGGTAATTTAAGACTAGGAGTTCTGGGAAAATAGAAAATGCCTGACAATTCTGGCCAAAACCTGAGCTAACACTCCTTTCCACCAAGTTTGGAGTGAGAGGCATTTCACTTTAACCCGTCTTGGCCTCAGAAAGAAATGCTCTTCTCTTTTTTCCTACTACAGCCTTTATTTTTTTTATTTTTAATTAAAAATTTTTTAATGTTTATTCATTTTTGAGAGAGAGAGAACAAGAGCAGGGGAAAGGAGAGAGAGAGGGACACACAGGATCTGAAGCAGGCTCCAGGCTCCGAGCTGTCAGCACAGAGCCCAAAGTGGGGCTTGAATTCACCAACCGAGATCATGACCTAAGCCAAGGTTGGTGGCTTAACCGACTGAGCCACCCAGGCGCCCCTCTACTAAAGCCTTTCATTTTTTTTTTTTAAATGTTTATTTTTGAGAGAGAGACAGACAGAACAGACAGAGCTCAAGGGGGACATGGGCAGAGAGAGAGGGAGACACAGAATCTGAAGCAGCTCCAGGCTCTGAGCTGTCAGCACAGAACCCAGTGTGGGGCTCAAACTCAGGAACCCTGAGATCATGACCTGAGCCGAAGTTGGTGGCTTAAGCAGCTGAGCCATTCAGGTGCCCCATTGCCTCTAAATTTTTTTTGATGTTTATTTTTGAGAAAGAAACAAAGTGTGCGCTGGGGAGGGGCAGAGGGAGACGGAGGCACAGAATCTAAAACAGGCTCCAGGCTCTGAGCTGTCAGCACAGAGCCCCAGGTGGGGCTCAAACCCACGAACTGTGAGACCATGACCTGAGCTGAAGTCAGATGCTCAAACAACTGAGCAACCCAGATACGCCAGGCCATGCCTTTAAAAAATAAAGTGAAAAAAATGAAATCCAAAAAGTTTTATAATGAAAAAGTGCAACAGAACTTCAGGGTGCTATTACTGTGAGAAGCGAAGGGGCCATGCTGAGTCTGAGGTAGGACAGACAAAAAAGAGAAACTTCACAAATAAACTTACCTTTACAATCCTAGATTCTGCCACTTCGATGTTTTCTTGTGCTGACTTCTCAGACTGAACAAAGTCTTATCTCACCCACAGCGACATATCCTAATGAGCTCAGTAGGACCACTGTCACTCAATATGCATCCTCCAAGTTGAAAAACCTATGACTAACATCATACAAAATCACACAGGCTTCCTGATTCCCTCTTCATTCCCTCCTAGCTCACACACGTTATCTTCCACAGAAGGTAACATGCCCCTATTCTAGAAGAGACAGACTCTCATCACAGTTTTCCATGGTAAGAACGTCACTGGCTCCAACATCATAATGGTTCAGACTCCCTCAATACCCACCCCCTGCACACCCACGTCCAGTGATACAGCACTAACATTACTAAGCACCTGAAAATCCACACATGAATGGCTAAGTGCCAGGACTCAGGGGTTATCTGGCCCTTCGTTAGTGTGGAGTGGGGTCACTCCAGTGCATTGGGATGAAGGAGCGGCTGTGCGCTAGCCATTTCACTTATTACATCAGATGACTAGACACAGTACTGTGTTGGGAGTGGGGGAGGGTGCAGTGGGAGGAGCTTGACCTGTTTACACCTGCCAGGAACTGCTGGGAAGGGACTGTTGCTGCATCCTCTCCCATAATGCCTTAACCCAGGGCTGTCAAATAAAATAGTTAAATTTGAATTTGATTCCCAGTTAAACTTGAATTTCAGGTTAACAATATTTGGGACATACTTATGCTTTAAAACATCAGTGTTTTAACTGAAACTCAAACTGGAGGACCTGCATTTTTATGCGCCGAATGTAGCAGCCCCCCTTAAAAGTATTTTTATACCCATCTGCAGCCACACGGCTAGGTCGTGGCAGGGCCAGACAGTCACACTCCAGGCAGGCCCTTGGCTGCGATGCCAGTCACCGGACATGCGGGCATGTACGCGCGAGGCTCTGGCCTTTATGACAGAAGCCCTGCATCAGCGGCCTGCATGCGCAGCTGGCTCTGTGTGCCGATAAAGGGTCCGTCCCCCTGCGCCCTGTACAAGGGGCGCCGGGAGCCACATCACGCCCAGAGAAGCCGCAAAGCAACACCTATGAATAAAAAGCAACAGAGCAGTCAGTACCTGAATGTTTCTCTGGCCTTTCACAGAGGCAACTAGGTGGGCAGGGCGGCCACTGAAAGGCAAACCTGAAAGACATCACCTGGGCTGCCCCGTCTCCCACCTTCTCCTTTGCCGTCGGTGTAGATGCCTCGAGGAAACCGATGTCTGCGCGGGTTGGTCCGGAGCGGTCACGCTGCCTGAGCGGAAGCCATCGCTCCCTGCCGCACAGGCCTCCGCACTGGCCCCACCTCCGCCTTGCTTGGGCTGGTAAACGCCACTACCAAATTTTGGCGGGAAAGCACGCGCGACTCATCTGATACGCGTGCATGCGTGCGGGGCACGCGGGTGGAGCTAGGACGCGCGCGGGATTCAGATGCGCACGCGCGTGCGCTGGCGAGCGCGGGCGCCATCTCGGATGGCTCCGCACGGGACCCCGCTTCCTACCTCGGGAGCGTGCGCAGCTCCCTCCGCCTACTTGGTGGAGCTCCACAGCCGCTCGCCTTGGTCGCGCACGCGCTCTTTGCCTGTTTTCGAAACGGGTCTCGAGGCTCCCCGGAAGTTCCGAGGTGAGGGACTTAGAGAACAGCGTGAAAGAGTGGCCAGGCCGGGGTAGTGCGGCCTCTCCCCTGAGGCGGGAGACTTCGTTCCCCCGGGGAGGGGCCCAGAGCTGCACTCAGAGCGGCCAGTGGCTTCCACTCCCGATTTGGGCCGCGGAGGCGGGACTACGTTCCCCGGCGTCCCTGGTGCGATGCTCCCGAAGCCATGCCTTTCTCCGTCTCTTCAGGGCACACGAGGGCTGCAGACTAGACTTTCCAGGGTGCTGTCGTGTCTGGCAAGCTGCAGTTGCCAGTACGATCCTTCCAAGTTATGGGAGTTTCAACTTTGCCTTCAACTGCTCCATTTCTAGAAAAATTCCTGGAATATATTATCGATATTTGATGCTTCCAATTTCTTTTCTCTCGTTCTCTCTTGAATCCACTCTAATCAGACTTTTTTGCACCCATCACTCAACGAAAACTGCTCTGATCAGTTACCAATGATCTTCATTTTGATAAATCTAATGATTGACTTTCAATTCTTACTCTACTTGACTTCTTAGCAGCACTTGACAGAACCCATCTTCACTACTTCCTTGATAGGCTTTCTTAGTTTCTATGATCCCCTATGTTCTTGGTAGAAAAACCAAGTAGTTTTTCCGGTAGTCAGTCCCGCCTTGTCTGTTTCATAGCTCTTCAGGCTACTGTCCTTGGTCCTCTTCCTTATTCACACTCACTTCCTTGGTCATCTTATCCAGTCTTGTGACTTCAAGTATCATCCCTATACCAGTGAATGTCAAATTTACAATTCCAGTCTGAACCGGTTTCCTGAATTCCAGACTCCTATATCCAGTTGCCTACTAGATGTCTTCACTTCAGTGTCTGATAGGCATCTTAATCTCAATTTGTTGGAAACTGAACTCATGAATTTCTAATCTTCCTGCCAGTATCAACTCCCAACTAACTTGATGATGCCTCCAGCTTTCCACCTGGTCAAGCCAAAAACCTTGGAGTCATCCTTGACTCCTCTCTCTCTCTCATTTATATCTAATCTGTCAGCAAATCCTGATGGCTTTACACCTAAACAGATCCAGATCTGCTCAATATTTCTCACTTCTATGACTTCTCCCTGGTTCAAACCCACTATCCTCTAGATCCCTGCTTGCCTTCCTGCCCCTATCCTCTGACTCCATTACCACAATTTATTCTCCATCAGAGTGGTTTTTTAAATTTATTTAAAATTTTTTTAGCATTTATTCATTTGAGAGAGAGAGTGCGTAAGTGGGGGTTGGGGCAGAGAGAGAGGGAGACACAAAATCCAAAGCAGACTCCATATGGGAGCTTGATATGGGCTTGATATGGGACTCAAACTCAGGAACCGTGAGATCATGACCTGAGCCAAAGTTGGATGCTTAACACACTGAACCACCCAGGTACCCCTAGAGTGTTTTTATTTTAAGTGTAAGTTAGATTGTATCAATCCTCTGCTCAGAACCCACCTATGGCTTCCATCTCATGCAGGGTAAAAGCCAAAGTCCTTAAAATGGCCCAAAAGCTATTATAAGATATAATGAAAATCTATACAGTACCCTAGAGCTAAGAGAGAGTACCCAAACGAGGACAAACTCTCTCCTAGGCTGGGCTTCAGACCTTATTGGAAAAAGTATATAGCTCAGCTCACTGAGTAGCAAAAAAAAAAAATTGCTGGTTTTCCCAGGACGGAGCTAGTCTGCAATATCTGGGCAGGTAGAAACCAACCCTCTGGAGTATACTGTCCACAGATGATCAGCAACCAGTGGCATGGGTGTGCAGAGGAACCAGAAGCTTGCTGGGAACCCTCCAGGCTGCAGGCCAACAGCACAGAATGTGATCCACAGGTTGGAGCACTTGTTTCCCTATTAGTGAAGGAAGACCAGGTCAAAGCTGCAAGGTCACCAAGAGACCGCATGTTCTTTGTGGCTGGCAGTGGCAGAGCTCTTTTGGATGTCTTCACTTCTGTATTACTGACACATTATACAGTAGCTGGTAATAGCAAGAGAGCCCCCTTTAGTGTCCTTCCAGAGACCTCCACTGAGAAAGCTTAATGTTATGCTCACTGCAAAGGAGAGATGCATAAAGGAATTCCATCCATAGGACAGCATATATTGAAGGGTAAATTTGAAGTTGAGAGGCAATCCATTAACAACATTGTTTCTCTAACAAGACAAGTACTTTAGCATGTGCTCATGTCCCTTTGGGCTTTTCCCATCCTTTTCCCCTCCATCCATGTTGATATTGTCCAGTGGATGTTCTCTTTATTTTATTTTACCTAGCCTTTTAATGCAACAATAATAAGAAACAACAACCAAATATCAACGTATTTGGTGACCCCTTTCTTCCCATTTCTCTTATAGCTTCTCCAGGATTATTATTTTTTTAATGTTTTATTTATTTCTGAGAGAGACAGACAGTGTGAGCAGGGGAGGATCAGAGAAAGAGAGAGATACAGACTCTGAAACAGGCTCCAGGCTCTGAGCTAGTGTCAGCACAGAGCCCGACCCGGGGCTCGAACCCATGAACTGTGAGATCATGACCTGGACCGAAGTCGGACGCTTAACCAACTGAGCCACCCAGGCGCCCCATTATTTTCTTATTTTTAATCCTCCTTTCAAAACCATTTTCAAAGTGAGACTTTCTGTGACAACTTGTGAAGCCTTGTCAGCCTGAAGTTACTATTATTATATTTTTATTTGAGAGAAAGAGAGCATGCACAAGTTGGGGAAAGGGACAGAGGGAGAGAGAAAAAAAATCTCAGGCAGGCTCCATACTCAGCACAGAGCCCGATGTGGAGCTTGATCCCACGACCCTGGGATCATGACCTGAGCGGAAATCAAGAGTCAGATACTCAACCAACTGAGCCACCCAGGCAGCCCCTGAAGTTAATTTTTTTTTATATAAAGGCTTCATTGATTGCCAATTTGGCTATAAACTTGGGTATAATTTTTTTCTCTTCAATATTTTACTCCACAGTCTTCTTGCATCCAAGGGTTACTACAAAGAAAGTTGATGTTAACCTGAGCCTGTTCCTTTGTAGATAATCTGATCTTGGTGAAGCTTGCTTTGATTTTCTTATGTCCAGATTTGTGTTTTTATTCTATTTTGCACTCTGTAATCTTTTTCAACTAGGATTTAAAAAATTTTTTTAATTCTTGGAAATTATCATAATCCTCTCTTCAAGTATTTGCTGCTATTTTTATTTTCTCTCCTGAAACTCTTATGGTCTGGCCGTAGGCACTTTTACCTCTGTCCTCTATGTCTCATGGCTTTTATTTTATTTTTTTTTTCTTCATACATTTCCGGTTGTTTTCTGGGAGAACTTCTCAAGCTGATCTTTTAACTCCCTAATTCCTGTGCTGTATCTATCCTACTGTCTCATCTATTTTGTTCTTTATTTCAGTTATTACATTTTTAATACCTAAAACTGCCACCAAGTGGCAGTTGGTGTAGGATATTCAGAAGCTGATGGAGTAGGCTAC